ACACTCCCCACTGTCGTTATCACCCCCTTGACCCTTGTGCTGGGAATGTTGACCAGAGTCTGTCATATTGTTACGCAATCCTACCCTTGGTCCTATCAAAGTCTCCCTCTTGCCCCTTCGAATCCGTCTGCTATCTCCCTGGTACATGGATTTCACTTGACCTCTGCCCCCCCATCTGTGCTATTCGATGCATAATTCGTCCATTCCTTGCAGATGGGCGATTAATTAGAGGCTAAAGCCTCAGAGTAATTGTCATGGTCATGCCTTTGCTAAATGGAAGACATCTCTTATAAAACCTACTGTCAGCCAACTAGCTCCAATCGCCGCCTTGTCTATCCTGCCTCTATTCCTAATATTAAGTATATGACTTGCCACGCCCTAATTGCTTGTGTGCCAACCCACAAATGTTGTGGTACTGCTGGCTTTGTTGAACCACAAACGTTTGTGGGTTGGCACACACATTTTTTTGTTTGGAAAAATATATCACTTTGACTGAGTCTGTTTGAGGTAATGAGCCTCCTATAGGGAATTAGGTATATAAAAAGTATATATATATATATATACTAATACATAACTGTATGCTCCACATATTCGCGTGTGTGCATGGGAATAGTTACAAATGAAGGCATACAAGCCAATGAGATAGCTCTAAATAATCTGAACTCATTGTCAATGAGTTCTTGTCAGTTTCGCCAACAGACTACAATTCGTCAAAAGACAAGTTGAATCCACGCCTTGATCAACCTTCCGTTAAGCAATTTTGACATCTATCCGCCTCTTCTGGTACGTTCACCTCACACATCTTCTAATCCTTCCCATCACTATCCCAACTTTCAGAAGTCCGCCATCTTCTTCATCCTCTTGTCGTGGTACCTTTCCGGGCGTCCCGCCGGCTCCATCAACAATCCACAACTTGGTCCACACTTCGATCAAATTGTCATTGAACAGTTGTGGTACATTTACCTTCTCTACGTGGTTGTATATAATCTACGCCAGATATGCATCGTTTTGAGCAGGTCCATTGAGGCGTAATCATTCCGTCTCTCTCTCCGCCGAAAGTGCTCATCTGACTTGGCCCCGCTCTTGAGTTCTCAATGACACTCCATTTCTGATCTCAGCACTCCCCTTATCTTTCCTCTGTCAAGATCTGCTCCAAGCGCATGCTGGGGCATGTGTACGATCCTGAAGATCCCCTATCTTGTAAGCGGACTTTCGAGGACGGAAAAGCGTCTGGTAGGCTAGCAATTCAAGCATTCAAAGCTGGAAGCAGTCCTGATATTCACATCAGACAAGGCAGCACGGGGCATCCGCTTCAAAGACCCTCCGAATGTGCCAAAGCCAAATGAAAACAATTATACACAGTAAAAGGAAACAGAGACCAAAATAGAGGTAACAGCCTCTTTGACACCATATTCACGACGACATTTATTGAGCTCACCTCAATTTCGAATGAAAGTGTTTGCTGAAGAGATTTCAAGGTCGATTCTGCCAGAAGACGACGGCGAATTCCTCTTGACCAGCTGTCGGTTGGCTTTACTAGAATAATCTTGTTAACGCTGTTTACAAAGCGATCTCCTTCGATTCCGGTGACAACGGACTAGGAATTCTACTGTTGTACGACGGACATCCTCAGGGCAGGGCATCCTTCTTCTAGAACTGGAAGTGAGCTTAATAATTATAAATCAGGAGATTCCTTGAAACCCTACTTTTCTTGGTGTACATTGCGATGAGAGGTAGCCCAATTCTTCTAATTTGCACGTTTCTCTGGTCGAATGTAGGCCTTTTAATAGTTGGATTAGACACCTGAACCTGGGGATTTATGCTACAGTCTGTCAAAAAATCTCTCCGGGCTGCCCAGACTGCTGATTAGTTGGCCAGGTATCGGCGATTGAGGAAGGGATCAAGGAACGGAATGCTTGATTGGAGTCCTTGAAGCGATTGGGCGAACTCGAATTAAAGAATGCGACAATGTGAGGCTAAAATTTGGCTACTTCCGGAAGTTTTCTCTCAACAAACTGTAAGCATCTAAGTTCTGCGGTTACCTGAAAAGCCTAAGCTGATTATTCTCTCCAGATACGCTAAAATACATTTGCTCATCTTACCTGACCAGACTGGAGTTGGGCTCTCACCGTCCGGCAACAGGTCGACTTCAGTAGAGCCTTGAAAGAACCGCCTCGATACAGCCAAATCACCTTCACCAGACAGACCCTCCAGTCGTTTGGCGTCCTGCTTTGGCCGTCGTTTTTGTTTGTCTAGAGCCAGAAATCGTTGTATATTGGAGCATGCGTCTACAGACAGACGAGCGGACCAACGGTTAGCCAGTGGCCGAATGGCTTCAGTTGGCAGACAGACGGCCTGCCAGTCCTCGAGTCTGGATTTGACGATTGGCGTGATCACCGGAAGCGAGATGGACTGACGCCCTCGCCGGCGACTTTGCTCCTCCGGCGTGGAGAAGGTAATCATCTCCTCCAGTTCGGCACGAATTCGAGCCCTTTTCAGTTGGCCCAAACGCTCAATCTGAGGAGAGAGAGGCAGTGTTAGAGTCGAAGAAAAACTGGGTTTCGATGAATCTCCTGAGATAACATTGTTAGAGGGACCTTCATTTCGTATGAA